ACATCTCTACCCCAAGTTCCGCCTTAGCATGTGCTTCTGGAGAACCCAATGTGAGACAACGTTTTAATAACAGTAACAACAGCATGACAACAGTGAACAAGAACAGCTATGATGAAGGGCAGGCGAGCTCCAAAGTGGGGCATAGCCTGCAAGGGTTCTTGGCTTTGCCCAGGAAAGAATTCAAGGGCAAGCCAGAGGTAGAAGAAAACAGCTTTATTGAAGAAGCAGTGCTACAGCTCCCTGACTGCTCCTGCAGAGTGGGGCTACCCCTGAAGCAGAGAGCAGCAGCTTAGGGAGGTTTTGCAGTCACATTTGTACCCACTTTTAATTGCATGTAGATTAAGGGGTGGCTTATGCAGAAATTTCTAGGAAAGGGATAGTAACTTTTGGGTCATTGGGTTATTGCCATGGGAAGGGGCGGTAACTCTGGGATGTTGCCATGGCAATGGTAAATTGACATGGCACCTTGGTAGGCGTGTCTGATTGAAAGCTGCCTTTGCCGGGACCCTGTTTTAGCTAGTACTCAATCTGGTACAGTGTACAAGACCCATCTCTAGAGTCAAGTCTCGCCTCCTACCTCAGCTACACCATGTTGCCTTACCAGAGATTAAAAACCAGGGGCTAATCCATTTGCCGTATTACTAACCATTCTTTGAAAACATCACTCGGTATTTTATTTGAAGAGATAATTTTGCAAGATACAGTGAAGCTATCCAGTCATTTCACCTGGTTTCTCTGTGTGATTCGCATTGTTACTATTACTTTCTTTTTAAAACTTATGATGCCATCAGTTTCTTAAACACCATTCTCTGCTTGTTTCTTGTTTCCTTGCCCACCCCCCACTTTTTTTTTTGAGACAGTCTCGCTCTGTCGCCCAGGGTGGAGTGCAATGTCACCATCTCAGCTCACTGCAACCTCTGCTTCTCGGGTTCCAGTGATTCTCCTGCCTCAGCCTCCCAAGTAGATGGGATTACTGGCACCCACCACCATGCCTGGCTACTTTTTGTATTTTTAGTAGAGACGGGGGTTTCACCATGTTGGCCAGGCTGGTCTTGAACTCCTGACCTCAGGTGATCCACCTGCCTCGGCCTCCCAAAGTGCTGGGATTACAGCCATGAGCCACCATGCCCAGCTGCCCCATTGGTTTTGTCACCTTCTCCTCTTCCATCATCCCCTATGTTCCTCCTGGGCTTAATCCTTGGACTTCTTTCTCACTCTATATTCTCCCCCTGGCCAATTACATCCACTTTCGTTTCTATAACTGAATCTGTATATACTGGTGACTTCTCAATCTGTATCTGCCAGACCTCCATTTGGCCTGTAGACCCATGATGTCCAGCTCTTGGGCTCCTCCAACTGAATGTCTTATATGACTTCACACTTAACATTTCTTAAATGGAACCCAGTATCTCCCCACTGCTACCATCAACACCACGACCCACACTAACATGCACAGACACACCATATACTTCTTTTCTGCCTACACTGCCTATCTCAATTAATGGTACCACCATGTGGCCATCCTCTTACCCCCTCCCTTATCCCACATATTCAAACAGTCACTAATTGCTCTGCATGCTACCTCCTTAACATCCTTCAAAATTATTTCTTACTGTAGTGGGTAGAATTGTATCCTCCCAAAATATATGTTCAAGTCCTAACTCCTAGTACCTATGAATGTGACCATATTTGGAATAGAGTCTTAGCAGATGTAATCAAGATGAGGTTATGCAGGATATGGTAGGCCTTACCCCAGTGACTGGTATTCCTATAAGAAGAGGGAAATGGCCAGGTTCAGTGGCTCACGCCTGTAATCCAGGCACTTAGGGAGGCTGAGGCATGTGGATCAGGAGTTCGAGGTCAGGAGTTCGAGGCCAGCATGACCTACATGGTGAAATCCTGTCTCTACTAAAAAGACAAAAAATTAGCCAGGCGTGGTGGTGCACGCCTGTAATCCCAGCTACTTGAGAGGCTGAGACAGAATTGCTTGAACCCTGGAGGCAGAGGTTGCAGTGAGTCAAGATAATGCCATTGCGCTCCAGCCTGAGCAACAAGAGTGAAACTACATCTCAGAAAAAAAAAAAAAAAGAGAGAAAGAGAGAAATTTGAACACATAGAACCCCATGCAAAGACACAGAAGACACTCAGGGATAATGCCATGTGAAGATGATGGCAGAAACTGAAATGATGCATCTGCAAGACATGGAAAACCAAGAGTTGCTGACTGCCACAAGAAGCTAGAAGAGAGGCATGGAACAGCATTCGGAAGAAATAAATGCTGCCGACCTCTTGATTTTGGATTTCAAGCCTCCAGAACAATGAGATAATACATTTCTGTTTTTAAAATCTAGTTTGTGGTACTTTATTACAGTGGCCATAGGAATACAACATCCTAATAGAATTGTTTGCCTTATCCTTCTCAATGCCTTGTACAGCCTTCTGCTGCTGTTGTTTACATTCCTCTTAGGTCTTCTGCCATGAGCTTATAAAGCCTTTGGAAGCCTTGAAAGAAAGATCAGATCATTATTCACATTTGTGCATGTAAGTGCTACGCACTGGGTTTGGTTCAAGTAAAGTGTATAATGTTTCATGAATAATGAACAAATAGAAGGAATCAGTACCCCGAGGATTTTTTTGTGTGTCTTTCTCCTTGTCTTCTCCCTATCTCGAAACTAAGCTGTATGCATGAGTGCAGGGGCCCAGTTTTATCACCTTGTTCCTGGGATGTTCTAGTTGCTATACAACTATTGTTTGCCTAAATAAATGACTACATGAAAACGAATATGATGTGGAAGTCACTAGAGAGAAAGATGAAAAGCTTCCTAAAGGAGATGATGGGCTTGGCTCAGTTCTCCCCCACCCACCTTGTACCAAAGTTGCCCAAGCCATATTAAAGCCTGAAGCAAAAGGAAAAATACATACCATCATACCATCATACACGTTTTCATGTATTTTTTTAAACAATTAGTTTTTCCAGAACACTTAAAAGAGTTTAAAAAAAAAAAAAAAGGAAAAACAATTGGATGAGGTGGCTTATGCCTGTAATCCCAGCACTTGGGGGCCCGAAGTGGGAGAATTGCTTGAACCCACAAGTTCAAGACCAGTATGGGCAACATAAAATTAAAAAAAGATAAAAAAATTGAAAAACTGAAAAAGTAGCTATATTAAAACTCAAACTACTGGGCCGGGTGCGGTGGCTCACGTCTGTAATCTCAGCACTTTGGGAGGCTGAGGTGGGGCGGATCACGAGGTCAGGAGATCGAGACCATCCTGGCTGACACGGTGAAACCCCGTCTGTACTAAAAATACAAAAAATTAGCCGGGCGTGGTGGCGGGCACCTGTAGCGCCAGCTACTTGGGAGGCTGAGGCAGGAGAATGGCGTGAACCCGGGAGGCGGAGCTTGCAGTGAGCTGAGATCGCACCACTGCACTCCAGCCTGGGTGACAGAGCGCCATTCCGTCAAAAAAAAAAAAAAAAAAAAACCCAACTCAAACTATTTTAAGCTTCACTGATTTGTACCCAGACAGGATCTTGTTTTTTTCACTCAGGCTGGAGTGCAGTGGTGCAATCACGGCTCACTGCAGTCTCAACCTCTCCAGTTCAAGGCATCCTCCCGTTTCAGCCTCCCAAGTAGCTGGGAATAAAGGTGTGCCAGCACAGCCAGTGTTTGTTTGTTTTTTTTTTTTAATAGAGACAGGGTCTCGCTATGTTGCCCGGGCTGGTCTCGAATTCGTGGGCTCAAGCTATCCTCCTGTCTCAGCCTCCAAAAGTGCTGAGATTACAGGCGTGAGCCACCACGCCCGGCCCCAAACCAAAATATTTTAAAATACGGTCGCAGCTTTATAAGGAGGATACCCTCTGAGAAATGTGTTGCTCTTGGGCTGCAAACCCGAAGACAGTGTTACTGTACCAGACCGTGTAGGCAACTGCGACACAAACATTTGCGTATCTAAATATATGTAAACACAGAAAAGGTGGAGTGAAAATGCGGTATTATAATCTTAGAGAACCATAGTCGTGTATGCGGTTTGTTGTTGACCGAAACAACATTTGGGAGCTCACGACTGTATTACATTCCCAGCGCCAGCGGTAGCAAACATCAACAGTATTTTCAAAATCTTATTATTTGCTTACCTTGGTTTCAACTGAAAGAATTGCCAGAGTATTTGACAATGTCTTTTGACCAAACGAAGAGCTAAAATATAGCTTGTATCTTACTGGTCTTTGCATTAAGTTTGCTTTTTAAAAATATCGCATTAAAATATTATTTATCTTCATTACTAAATTTTTTTGGCCCCAATAAGTTTTGCGCGTGCTTCAGTTTTGCCTGCGCGAAATCGGGAGTCTCCCGGACGCAAACGACCTCTCCCAGCAAGTGAACAGCCCCTGGCTAGTCCACCACGCGCAGGCGCAGGGCGGCAGGGACGAACCCGGAAGTCCCTCCCTGAGAAAGCGCCGCACAAGCCCTTGAACGGGACCAATCCGAGGCTGCGTCGTCCAGCTCTCCTTGCCCCGCCCCCTGCAGGTTTTTCTTTGCTTATCCAATAATAGAGGACTATTTTCTCCGCTGGCGCCCTCCTGTCCAATTACATATAAGGGGGCGGGGCCTAAGCTCGGCGCCGTCTCTGTAAAGAAGTGCGGCGCCATATTTCACCTGGAGTACCGCCGCTAGGAGTCAGCCGCGGCTATAGTTTTCTTTTTTTTCTTTCTTTCTCGTTCTTTCTTTCATTCTTTCTCTCTTTCTCTCTCTGTCTCTCTTTTTTTTCTTTCTTTCCTTTTTTTCTCTTTTGTGAGACGGAGTCTGGCTCTGTGGCCCAGGCTGGAGTGCGGTGGCGCAATCTCGGTTCACTGCAAACTCTGCCTCCCGGGTTCACGCCGTTCTCCTGCCTCAGCCTCCCGAGTAGATGGGACTACAGGCTCCCGCCACCACGTCCGGCTAATTTTTTGTATTTTTAGTAAAGACGGGGTTTCACCCTGCTAGCCAGGATGGTCGCGACCTCCTGACCTCCTGATCCACCTGCCTCGGCCTCCCAAAGTGCTGGGATTACAAGCGTGAGCCACCACGCCCGGCCCAGTCTGGATATCTTTTAAAAAGGCGAGGTTGGCTGAGGAGCCAGCAGCGCAGAAATGGATGTAGGTGGGTCGGGTTCTCTTCTTCTCAACCGAAGCCCTTACTTAGGGTTTATAATAAGGTCTGAGGACAGGCATGGCTTGGGTGACTGTTAGAAATACGTAATCTCAGGCCTCCTGAATCAGAATCTTCATTTTGATAACATCCCTAGGTGATTTATGCGCGCGTTAACGTTTCAAAATGGCTGCCGTACGCTTCCCAAGATTTTGTGTTTAGGAGACAGTGTTGACATCTGCATTTGGCTGTGCAGACGGTGGCCTATACTGCAAACCTAATGAAGACAATAAGACTCGAGACTTGTGAGTCACACTCTGGATCTTTATGACCTCTTAGACATCACTGGTCACCTAATCAGGATGATATAACGAAAGTTGTGATGTGGGATGCTATAGGTAGAAAACCTACAGTGAACATGGGTGCTTGAGAATGTGCAGAAGCACCCAGGAAAGGTGTAAAAAGAGGTGTTCAGTCAACCTGAGGTGGAAAGAAAAGGCGGAATGTGTATTAGGGATGCATGGGTTTATTCACCAACTTGGCATCCCACAGACATTGTCTCTAACCAAGGAACCCAACTTATAGTAAAAGTGACATGGTAGTCAGTTTCCAAGATGACTCTCAATGATGCTAGCTTTGCGTAATCCCTTCCCACATTGAATTCGTCTGATAGACTCAGCAATAGTGGATATAAGAAATGATGTATGACATCTGGAGCTGGGTGGTACAAGATACTGTAACTTCCATCTTGCTCTCTTGAAGCACTTGCTCTGGGGGAAACAAACTATGTGTGAGAACATGTCTCATTAGCACTATGGAGAGGTCCATGTGAGAAACGGAGGCTTCCGGCTGACAATAACGTGAAGGAGCCATCCTGGAATCCCATCCTTCAGCCTCAGTCAGGCCTTCAGATGACTGAGCTGCTGCTGAAAACTTAACTGCAATTTCGTGAGAAACTGTGTTACAGAACCATTCAGCTAAACAACGGCCAGATTCAGGACTCACAAGATTTGCGTGAGAGAAATGTTTACTGTTTGAAATTGCTAAATTTTAGAATAATTTGTTATGCAACAATAGGTAATTAGCACAAGGGGTCCGACTGGTGTCCGCGGGATTCATGGGTATTGTACACCATCAACACAAGCAGCTGACGTTATGGCATAGTGAGATGGTTTTTTAAACACTCAGTTTTGGCACCATTTGAAGCTACCCTATAAGTTTTGGGTGCTGTTTTACGGTTATTGTAAGATTCATACCAGTGAACAATATATGCGGAACTTTTTCTCAGCCAGGAATTTATAGAGCAAGGAAACGAGGGGTACAAGTGGACATGTCTTCTTGTAATACCTAGTGATTTACTTGCAAAATTTTATTTCTTATCCTGGAAACACCGGACTTTGTAGAGACTTCTTGCTGGCCAATTTGGGCTCCATTTGTTACTGAATAAACTCACCAAAAAGGCGATTCTAACATTGTTATGGCTTTGACTATCAACAGAACATAGTTCTGCAGCTTCACAGGGGTAGCAAAGAGGATTATGGATAGAAAAATCTCAGAGAATTCTGGAGTTCACATGTTCATTGATAACATGAAAAACTGGAACAATCTTATACACTATAAGCAGGACTATAAGGAGGCCACATCTCTCAGACATGAAAGTTTTGGGTGATTACGTCAGATTAAAAAACAACTTGGAACAGCTGAGACATTGGCTAAAGACAAGGAAAAGGAATTAGCTTGTGGACGAGAATAATTATTAATATCAACTAAGGGTTTGTGGCTACCTGCAGAAATAAAGATTACAGTATTTGTTCATATTTTCCTCCTTTTTATCCTTTCTGTTTTCTCCATATTTTATATACACAGGATGTGTAGTTCTTGGTTAGCTTTCAAGCTGGATTCAGAAGTTTCAGAATGTCAGGATGGGATCACGATTGGAGTACAGGGGATCCTCTTATGGACCTTGATGGAGTAACTGATGGGACTTTGCATTGTTTCCTATTGTGGGAAATATAGCTGCACTATGTTAGGCCAGATTGTTTCTTTGTGGTAAATTGGTAAGAGGGTTATGTATTCATATGCAACTGAAGGGATGGATTTTAGTGAGCATTTATCATGTTTTTGGCTTCTGAATTTCTGCAACTCCTTCCAAAGCTTAGGTAATCTGTTGCCTCATAACTATTGGGAAAATAACTTACTTCCTATAAAACAGGAAATCCAGAATAACTGATTTCCCAGTCTCTCTTGCCCCAAAGATGTGGGCATGTGACTGCCCATCAGATACCCCTGACTCAGCCTTTGGCACAAGGAAGAAGAGACCAAGAGGAACCTTTTCTGGCAGTGGTAGCCATTGCAGCAAGATAGATTCTTGGGGCAGCAGTGGCAGCAGTGCTATTAGTGTCACCTCATGGCCAGTGATAACTGTGTCAAAACTATGAACGGCAACATTTATGCTTGGAGGCAGCAGTTGCATTGGTATTATTTTTTTCACTATAGCTGCTGTGTGGTCTTCCGAGCCTCGTTCTCCAGCTGCCCAGGGTTTTTGAAAGGTATTCATTATTTTCATGAAATCCTTTCCTGCTTAACTCAGCAAGAGTTGGTGTTTGTTATTTGCAACTAAGAACTGCGAATGAGGCCAGAATGTAGCCAGTCATTAGAAAATGACTTGAACTGTGAACTGGACAGCCATCCGTACTTTCTCCAGCTCTTCTCTCTGTGTGTTTACATCTTTTGCTCTTATCTATAGACGTTTGCTTTTTATCCATCTGTAAGTCAGCCAAAAGACAATTGCAACCTTCTGGGATTACTCGTTACAGGCCAAGTCCTAGTGAGTATGATCCGTGGGCCCTCGGTCCCAGTTCCAATTGCCCTAATCCAATCATGAATCCTCACTGGGAAGAGGATGATAGAGTATAAACTCGGCTGCTGGAGTCCATACACCTATGGATTAGGGGGCCATTTTCAGAAAAGGCTGACCCAATGTGAGCTGGGAAGGCATCCCTAAATGAAGTCTACTTTAGGAACATGGAGTTCTTCAGTCATGGCATGCTGTGCATTTCCTGATATATTCTCCCATTACAAAAAGGGTATCCTTTACACCAAATGCTTTAAAAGATTAAACACAGGCCGGATACGGTGGCTCACGCCTGTAATCCCAGCACTTTGAGAGGCTGAGGCGGGCGGACCACCTGAGGTCAGGAGCTCAAGATCAGCCCGACCAACATAGTGAAACCCCGTGTGTACTAAAAATACAAAAAGTAGCTGGGCGTGGTGGTGCGCACCTGTAGTCCCCCCTACTTGGGAGGCTGAGGTGGGAGAATCACTTGAACCCAGGAGACAGAGGTTGCAGTGAGCCGAGATCATGCCACTGCACTCCAGCCTGGGCAACAGAGCTAGACTCCGTCTCAAAAAAAAAAAAAACAATTAAGCACAACTCTGCAATGCCACCCTTACACCTGCCCCACCCCAGTTTCTGCATCCCCATCAGCAAACGCATCAAGTCAATGCAGTAAATGACCATATATGTGAAAAAAAAAGGAAGGGTTCAGGTAACACTGCTATTATCTCAGCTTCTGAGCTAGGAAGTTAAGAAGAACAACCTTCTGATAACCAACTTTTCAAACCTGTAAACATAAGCCCAGATCAGCAAAGTGATGCAGTTTGAGGTCTCAGTGAATTTTCTTTGGGACTTAGCTCCACCAAGATTGCTTTATCTCCAAGTTCTGACCCAGTAGTTAGAGAATATACTTTGCCATCATTGCTGGGTACCAAAGGACCAAGAAATAGGTGGGATAATTCATTTCTGCTTGTCTCTAATGAGACTGTCAGGGAGTCTAGTCCCAGTGGCTATGGAAGCTACTGTAAATACCCGTTTGTGATTCTCCCAAACATTCATCCTGCACAGAGGGATAAGGCCGTGAACATCTGCTCTTCACTTGCTCAGGACTTGCCTGTATTTCTAAGACTTTGCCATCCTTAGAATAATTAGGAGCATTAACTAAGTTCTTTCAAGGTAAGATTATAACAGCAGATATATATGACTAATGACTGGAGTTCTTTGAGAGAGCTCCTTTTCTAAATATGCCACATCCAGGGAGAAATAATAAGAGTCCTGAATCCATCAGCTGGAGCTTGACACAGACAGTAATAATCAGCTGTTTTGCCTCTCTATGAGTGCCTAGGGGGTGGGAGAAGCCTGGAAATATTAAAAGAGACCTGCATAATCGCACAGGAGGGCTGTGTATGGATCTGCATGTTGTTTTGTGTTATATTTTATAAAATTGAAAGAGTGAATATATGAGGACCCACATCATCTAGGACTGGACATTGGAAGTTGGGGGTATAGGGACGAGGGGCAGATCCTAACTGGGTGACCCTAATACAGGTTTGTTAACATGGCCATGGTTGAAGCTTGACTTGTTGCATCTGGAGCCTCAGCTTCTACATTGCTGATCTCTGTCTGTCTTATCTGCATCTGGGATCAGGCCCATGAGCGGGACAAACCAGTCGAGCGTCTCCGAGTTCCTCCTCCTGGGACTCTCCAGGCAGCCCCAGCAGCAGCATCTCCTCTTTGTGCTTTTCCTGAGCATGTACCTGGCCACCGTCCTGCGGAACCTGCTCATCATCCTGGCCGTCAGCACAGACTCCCACCTGCACACCCCCATGTACTTCTTCCTCAGCAACCTGTCCTTTGTGGACGTCTGCTTCTCCTCCACCACTGTCCCCAAGATGCTGGCCAATCACATACTTGGGACTCAGACCATCTCCTTCTCTAGCTGTCTCATGCAGATGTGTTTTCTCTGTATGTTTTCTGACATGAACAGTTTCCTCCTGGCTGTGATGGCCTATGACCGCTTTGTCACTGTGTGCCACCCCTTACATTACGCAGCAAAGATGACCCATCAGCTCTGTGCCCTGCTGGTCACTGGATCACGGGTGGTTACCAACTTGAATGCTCTGCTGCACACCCTGCTGATGGCTCGACTCTCATTCTGTGCAGACAACACCATCCCCCACATCTTCTGTGATGTGACTCCCCTCCTGAAACTCTCCTGTTCACACACACACCTCAATGAGTTGATGATTCTTACTGAGACTGCCGTAGTCATGATCACCCCATTTCTTTGCATCCTGGCTTCCTATATGCACATCGCCTGTGCCATCTTGAGGGTCCTATGCATGAAGGGAAGATGGAAAGCCTTCTCCACCTGTGGCTCCCACCTGGCTGTGGTTCTCCTCTTCTGTGGTACCATCATATCTCTGTATTTCAGCCCTTCATCCTCCCACTCAACTCAGAGAGATATAGCAGCTGCTGTGATGTTCACAGTGGTGACTGCCATGATGAATCCTTTTATCTACAGCCTGAGGAACAAGGACATAAAAGGGGCTGTTGTAAAAGTGATTGCTGTGAAATTCTTTTCTGTTCAATAATGATATGGGCTAAGAAATTCCTAGAAGGAGCTAATTTCTGAGATAATTCTGTTTATTTTTTCTACTGTATGAAACTTAGCATTGTGTGTTTGTTTTGAGACGGAGTCTCACTCTGTCACCCAGGCTGGAGTGCAGTTGTGCGATCTTGGCTCACTGCAATCTCTGCCTCTTAGGTTCAAGAGATTCTCCTGCCTCAGCCTCCTGAGTAGCTGAGATTACAGATATGTGAAACCAATTTTTTTTTTTTTGTATTTTTAGTAGAGATGGATGGGGTTTCACCACGTTGGTCAGGCTGGTCTCGAACTTCTGATCTCAAATGATCCACCCGCCTTGGCCTCTCAAAGTGCTGGGATTACAGATGTGAGCCACCACGCCTGGCCAGCATTTGTTTTTATAAGAGAAACATCTGGTATCTATTTTGGGAGAACAAAACCCTTGATATAGACTCTTCAGGTTAAAGATGGAAAGAGAGATCCTTTAATTAAATGACCCGACAATTCCAATTGTCAATGCCCTCCTGCCAAAACCAAGAAGGAACACACCTGTAGTTCAGTAAGTTGGATTTACTACTCATTATAACAAGGGAGAATACACAGCATTGGAAATAGTGAGGTGTCTCATTGGAAGAGTCCTAAAAAGGACCTCTGCTTTTGTAATGTTGGTGAGGAATTAGGAATGAGTTTGTGCTCTGGAGTAGATGCCATTACAGAATAGGGATAATTCTGAAAGGGTATCTTAATATATTTTATCTAGAAGGAAAGAAGAGGCCAAAGCTGTGATTGCCAAAGGAACAGCAGTCACTCATTTCAGCCAGCGTAGGGGGATGTTTGGTTATTTTTGTGGCTATGACAATGTCATGTTTTTGTGATGAGACATCATTGCAGAATGGTCTTGCTTTGTTTAGCTCTAGCACAGTCAGAGTGTGGCCTTATTAGATACTGATGTTCAGTGAAATTCTCTATGTTTATCAGTAGAACACAAAAACCTTGCTGTGAGGGCCAGGTCAACTCCTATCAGGGTTGTTTACTCTTTCTCACAACAGAGACCTTGACACGAAAACATCTGATGGAAAGATCAGACTTTTGTTGGGGCAGGAAGGGGAGGATTTATTTATTTAATTTTTTAAAATTTTTATTTTATTTTTAGACAGAGTCTCACTCTGTTGCCCAGGCTGGAGTGCAGTGGCGCAATCTTGGCTCACTGCAACCTCTGCCTCCCAGGTTGAAGTGATTCTCCTGATTCAGCCTCCTGAGCAGCTGGGAATACAGGTGCGTGTCACCACTGGCTAATTTTTGGTATTTTTAGTAGAGCTGGGTTTTCACTGTGTTAGCCAGGATGGTCTCAATCTCCTGACCTTGAGATCTGCCAGTCTCGGCCTCCCAAAGTGCTGGGATTACAGGTGTGAGCCACTGCGCCCAGTCAAGAGAAGGATGTATTTAGAGTTTCAGAAAGCCCTAATTCTGCCACTCATTTGAGCAGGCACTCTCACACTGTCATGCTGGTGTCAACTTCCCATTTATTCTGATTTTATTTTATTTTTTAAAGAGAAGAGCCCAGAACTTTGGAAAGCCAAGGTAGGAGGATCACTTGGGCCCAGGAGTTTGAGGCCATCATGGACAGCATAGCAAGACCCTGTTTCTACAAAAATAAAAATAATTAGCTGAGTGAGGTGGCATGTCCCTGCAGTCCCAGATACTTGGGAGAGTTAGGTAAAAGGATCTCGTGAATCTAGGAGTTCAGGGCTGTAGTGAGCTATGATTACAGCTCTGTACTCCAGCCTGGGTGACAGAGTGAGACCCTGTTTCTTTAAAAAAAAAAAAAAAAAAAAGGATGTGGTCTCAGTAAGTTGCCCAGGCTGGTCTCTAACTCCTGGATTCAAGGAATCCTCCCACCTCAGCTTCCAGAGTAGCTGGGACTACACTCACATGCCACCATGCCATCTTGATACTGCTTTTTAGATTTTAAAAATAATTTTTTTTTTTTTGAGACGGTATCTCACTCTATAGCCCAGGCTAGAGTGCAGTGGCACAATCTCAGCTCACTGCAACTCCGCTTTCCCCCGGGTTCAAGCAATCCTCCTTCCTCAGCCTCCTGAGTAGCTGGGACTACAGATGCCTGCCACCAAACCCGGCTACTTTTTGTATTATTAGTAGAGATGGGGTTTCACCATGTTGGCCAGGCTGGTCTTGAACTCCTGACCTCAGGTGATCTGCCTGCCTCGGCCTCCCAAAGTGTTGGGATTACAGGCGTTAGCCACCACACTCACCAAAAATTTTTATTTTATTTTTTTGTAGACAGGGTCTCACTATGTTGCCCAGGCTGGTCTTGAACTCCTGGCCTCAAACCATCCTCCTGATTCGGCTTCCCAAAGTGCTGGAATTACAGGCATAAGCCACCATGCCTGGCCTCCCTCTGCTCGTTTGATACACCTAAAATGGTATCTTGTTCTTTCAATTTATAATTCTTAGATTATGTAAGTCTGAACATCCTTTCATGTTTTTCAGCCACTCGTTTCATTATCTAAAAATGGTCTGTTTCTGTCTTGTTACTGTCTGTGTGTCCCAGAGCCCTCATTCTCTTCTAGAATCCTTTGGTTCCTGAAGTGGTCAGTTTGTAGCCAGGTACACATGTGCGTGAGATTCTGGACCTCTGTCCGCTCTACCTCCAGGAAACTCCATGGGCTGTGAGCCTAGCGCTGCGTCTTCAGGGGATTGATATTTTCTGTGGTTACTTACTTATTTATGAGACAGAGTCTCGCTCTGTCTCCCAGGCTGGAATGCAGTGGCGCGATCTTGGCTCACTGCAAGCTCTGCCTCCCGGGTTTTACGCCATTCTCCTGCCTCAGCCTCCCCAGTAGCTGGGACTACAGGCGTGCACCACCTTCGCCCTGCTAATTTTTTTGTATTTCTAGTAGAGACAGGGTTTCACCGTGTTAGCCAGGATGGTCTCAATTTCCTGACCTCACGATCCGCCCGCCTCGGTCTCCCAAAGTGCTGGGATTACAGGCGTGAGCCACCGCGCCCGGCCTATTTTCTGTAGTTACTACTGGAATTGGATCTTTGGTCTCTTACATTTTCCAACTCTCGCTCTACCGCTGTAAAACTATTAGCTGTTGTCTACTTTTTCAGTTTCACCGGTGATCAGGCTCCTTAGGTAAGAGAACTCCGACAACTTTCCAGGGTCTCTCGAGTTAGGAGGCCGTACCTGGTCCTGGTCGGGGCACTCCTCTCAGTCCCACCCGGCCCCACTGGTGCAGAAGGAAACCCTGAGGCCCGTGTCCTGCCCTCTGGGACACTGGGTACGGATTGACAGCAAACCTGACCGTGGGCACCTCCCCAGTGCAGGAGATGGTGTGCGTCATGGTGGCTTCACTCACCTACACTTAAAAAAACAAAAGCTACTCAGGAGGCTGAGGCAGGAGGATTGCTTGAGCCTAGGAAGCAGAGGTTGCAGGGAGCCAAGATCGCCCCACTCCAGCCTTAGCAACAGAGCCAGTCTCAAAAAAAAAAAAAGTGTCTTGGGTACTGTGCCACAGCTGCATGAGGACTGATAAAAACCCCCGACTCTGGGCAGGGGTGCCAAGAGTGAGTGAGTGGAGACTCTCATCACTCACTGCCTGGCAGCTACTTTTCTGGGTACACAGGCAGGTCCCCTGCACATGGTAACAGCTTGCCGGCTCTGGAAACACAGTTTGGGATCCCAGTCCTAGAGCACTGGCCAGAATTTCAAGTAAGCAAGTAACGTTGTGGGCAGCCAGTTTTGTTGGCTTTGCTGGCTTTACAGGGTACTTACTGTTGGCTTGAAATACAACGTTGGTAAAGACAGTTTTTTTGTGGCCTTTCTCTGTTGTGGAGGATTTATTTTTAAATTATGACTCAGGAGTGAACTGTATCATAGAATGTCCTTCTTTCAGAATGCTTTGTGCCAAAACAAGAAACTTCAGAATTACATGTTAATAACAACAAACAAAACAAAAAAGACCAGTAGGCAGAAGGCAAGAAACAAAACTATTCTTTGTAGATGGTGTCATTTTACCAAAAGTTGTAACAGAACTAAACCAAGAAACTATTGAAAATTAACAACAAATTAACAACATTCAGTAAGGTGACTAATTACACAAATATATAATAAAAAATGTTTCCCATGTAAAAGCAATAATCAACTATAAAAATATAATGGAAAAAACTACAATAACAAAATTGTGTAAAACGTGAAGAAAATTAGAAAAATTTTCACAGGAATATAATACTCTAATAAATACAAAGGCATGTTTCTGGATGGGAAACATACACTATAATTTTTCCCAAATTATTTATAGGATTTCTTTCTTCCAATCAAAACACCAATGTATAACCTCCAGAAACCTAAAGCAAGCAAAACTGATCAAGAATCCCTAAATCGCACCACAGGATTGGTCCTGTAAAGGCACCGCTGGCCATGCTTCTAGGCAGAGGACAGGAAGGTCTGGATATCAAGAGGCTGAAGACAATGAATACCCACTACAGTGAAGACACCTGGAAACCTGTCTCTTGAGGGGCAATGTGAGCTAACCACTACAGACGTAATTTCTAAATATACAACACTTTGCCTTGTGAGGTAGTGAACACCCCATTGCCAAAGGTCTGATGACGGCATAGAGGGGACCTAAGCATGTGGTAAGGTTATTGATGAGACATAGATCCAAGCCAACTTTTTCCTGCCTCCAGGTCAACCCCTCCTCCCTGGGTCTTGGGGTTTCCTTCCTAGCACATGAGATCTGGGCTCAACAGAGGGACAAGATTCTGAAAAGCTTTTCTAGTGGTGGGGCTGGATGGCCCTGCCTGAGTAATCCAAACTTCTTTTAGCAAGGGAGAAGCATGAGACGCCTGTTGGAGAGATCAATGGCTGAACAAAATACAGTAAGAACAGTAGACACTTAAATTATGTTGTGAAAAGGAATCTGTAAAAGTCAATTTTATCACAAATTGCAAATATTATTGAAATTGATTGCAAATTTAGATCACATACAAATGAGAGTCTGACATTCAATTGTTGTTTTCCTATATTCCAAAGTAAACAATTCCTTTCAACACTCAAGACTTAAAACAGGTGTTCTTAGAGGGTTATATGAATTGCTATCAGAAGCTGTTGGCTCAACAAGCCAGTAGTTTGGTTCTTTCACGAGAACACAGTTCTAGATAAGCATCTTTGCACTATTTCTCAAGTATGAATCCCCATATGGGGAAAAATGGATATACTTCCAATAGACACAAGTCACTCTTTGCCTTGCAAGTAAGCAGACTCCAGATTCATCTTCAAAGTCTTGGGAAAGGGATCTGTGACCTGTACATTATCATATGACTTCAAAAAGGAAAGGTCCTTAGTCCAGAAAGCCTAGATGCTGAGGTATAGCCCTTGAAATGTTTTCTTCCCTGTGAATTTTCTAGCAATTTGAGGTTTTAGCCAAGATGGGCATTTATCCAATTTTGGCAATAATGAGATTTTTACATATTTATATCTTTTGGGGCAGCCTGGGAATTCAGAACTACTTATGAAAGCTCTCAGGTTGAGGCAGCACCATCAGACCCCTTTCCTGGTATTACTTCTGCTTCCGAGTCTTACAGGCTGAGTGGGTTTTCTCATGCCGGGTACAGTTTGACAGCCGACCAAATCTTCTCCCACATTTTTTGCAACCATATGGTCTCTCAGCCTCATGACTCTGCAGATGAAGCACAAATTCCTCATTCTTTGGGAAGGTTTTCCCACATTCTGGACACTTAAATATCTTCTCCCTTATATGGATTCCTTCATGACGACTCCGATGAGAATTCTGACGAAAGTTTTTTCCACACTGAGAACAGGAATAAGGTTTCTCTCCTGTATGAATTCGCTCATGTTTATTGAGGTTTGTTTTATGATTGAAGCTTTTCCCACAGTGACTACAGTCATAGGGTTTTTCTCCAGTGTGAGTCCTCTGGTGGGAAATAAGGTAAGAACTTTCATTAAACTGTTTCCCACACAGTGGACAAGTGTACCATCTCCTTGTCTTCCGATTTCGAGTAAGTGCAATAATACTGATGTCTACATATTTTGAGAGTTCCTCTAGAGGAGCATCATTCTCAAGGGTAACTAACAGATTTCTCATTTTCCTTTTCTGTGGAATGGATGTATTTAGTCTTTCCTTTTCCTGGTTATCTGGAGGCTGCTGAGAGACCAAGGAAGAATCCATTTCATCATCATCTGAAGACTTTTCTCTATAATCTTCATTTTCTACAAGTTCCCTCTCAGGATCTTCACCTTCAGGATTACTGCCATTGACTGTTCAAACAGAGAATTTAACAACTTCTGAGAGATATGACATCAGGCAGGAAAAAACAAGTCATGTTTCTTAAGCCAGAGCCACCTTTAAAGTCAATCTGAGGAGTGGCGGATACTGCCATCGCACTCATTTTCCACACTTATTGAGGGTGGGATACATAACTCATAAATCTTTCCATCTACCACAATGCAAGCACACTTTAAAGAAATAAAAATGAGTGGGATTTCACAGAAAGAATTCTTATGTTTGTTCTCTTCATAGGTGTTACTCGACAAGTTAATATTCACCTTATACTCTGCAGAGCACTCAGCTAAAGACTAGGGATGAAGACTACAAATCTATACACGGCACCACTCATCATCTTGAAGGAGTCTGGTAACTGAATAGTAAGATGAACCACTTGTAGGTTTTCACTATATTAAATATTATCACACTATTATAGCACTAAATAATATTATAATGTCTTACAATGAGAAAATGGAAACAATTCCAATAACCCAAATTAAAGAAGGCACAGCATATTCATACAAAACCTTATTATTGGCCAGCCGTGGTGGCTCACGCCTGTAATCCCAGGACTTTGGGAGGCCAAAGTGAGCAGATCACCTGAGGTTAGGAGTTCGAGACCAGCCTGACCAACATGGAGAAACCCTGTCTCTACTAAAAATACAAAATTAGCTGGGCATGGTGGCACATGCCTGTAATCCGAGCTACCAGGCAGGTTGAGGCAGGAGAATCACTTGAACCTGGGAGGCAGAATTTGCAGTAAGCTGAGATCATGCCATATGCACTCCAGCCTGAGCAACAAGAGCGAAACTCTGTCTCAAAACAAAAAAAAGTTTATTCTTTGGCGATTAAAGAGATTACTACAACTAATGAAGCTTTGGGATTAGAAGTCAGTAGTGTTTCTCTTTGGGTAGGAAAGGAAGTAGTGACTGGGTGCAGGGCACAAAAGGGATTTCTGGGATGCTAAGAAAAGTCCCCATTTTGGGTGGTGATTAGTGTGTACAAAATTTTGTGAAAACTTCAGCTATATATTTATGATTGGTAGGCTTTTTCTATATTTCTATAATACTTCAGAAAAAAGTCAGTGTAAGCAGATTATAAAGATTAGGTAACAACGTGAAAAACAAGCATGCTGTGGACATACTTGTGTGACAAGGGACCCCTCAACTCTGGACTACTCAGAGTCAAGGGTTCAAATTAACCGCCAAGACATGGGGCTGATCCTGAAGCTGGAGTAGGAATCTCTGCTGGATTTCGCAGTTTCACACCAATAGATTTTTTTTTTTAATTTCACTTTTTTGAGTTTTTTTGGGCAGAGATAGGGTCTTGCTATGTTGCCCAGGCTGGTTTTGCACTCGTGTACTCAAGCAATCTTCCCAAAGTGCTGGGGATTACAGGTGTAAGCCACCACACCCAGCCTTAATTATTCTTTTTAATCACTCCCTTAGGATAATGAAATGCCAATTTTTACCACAGCTCTTGACATGAACTACCATTCTGCTTTCAAAAGCAGCTCTACTAATTTCAATGCAACCATCAATACGTGAATATTAACTTTACCTAATCTTGTTAGCATTAAATTTTGAAATAATAGGTATAAAATGGTTTCTCATTGTAGTTTTACTTTGGATTTTGATTATGCAAATAATCTATTGGGTTAAGAGTTTTATAAATGTAAATCTTTGTCAATGATTTCTTGTTTAATTTTTAACTGAACTCTTCCTCTTTAACTACATTTGGACTGCTTCCAACCTTGTGTTTTTACAAACAATACCAGAGCAAATAATCTTGTTTGTACATCATTTCAAATGTGCTCTGTTGCTGTATCTGTAGGTCAGATTCCCAGAATTGAACTGCTGGAACAAAGGGTAAGATGGGTAGTTACAGATGCATTTACCCTTAAACAGGGACTGTACCATTTTGTATGCCCACCAGCAATATACCTGTTTCTTAACAACCTCACCATCAATGTGTTTCTATTTCTATAAATATGAAATACAAAAATGTTAATTCACTAGAGGTTTAATTTGCACTTCTTTTTGCTCCTGTCACGCAGGCTGGAGTGCAGTGGCGCAATCTCGGCTCACTGCAACCTCCACTTCCCGGGTTCAAGTGATTCTCCTTCCTCAGCCTCCCGAGTAGCTAGGATTATAGGCATGCCCCACCAAACCCACCTAATTTTTGTATTTTTAGTAGAGATGGGGTTTTACCATGTTGGCCAGGCTCGTCTCACAACTCCTGACCTCAGGTGATCCACCTCCCTCGGCCTCTCAAAGTGCTAGGATTACAGGCGTGGGCCACCATGCCCAGCCTTGTTTATGTATTTGAATCTGTCAATCTTTTCTTTCAAGGCTTCTGGGCTTTTGAGTCTTAACTACAAAAACCTTCCTATCCCATGGTTATAAAGGAATCACTCATATTTTCTAAATGTGCTTTTTATATTTGTTTTAAACATTTAAAATCTTTGATCCATGTGGACTTTTTCTTGGGATGTAAAGTGAGGTACTAATTTATCAAATGGCTATCAGTTGTCCTAACACCTTTTATCAGAAAGTCCCTCTTTATGGTTAGGCTTTGTGTCCTCACCCAAATCTCATTTTAAATTGTAATCCCCATAATCCCCACATGTCAAGGAGAGACCACTCAGGTGAAGGTAACTGAGTCATGGCAGGGGCTTCCCCCATGCTGTTTTCATGATAGTGAGTTCTCATGAGATCTGATGGTTTTATAAGGGGCTCTTCCCCCTTTACTTGTACTTCTCCCTCCTGCTGCCTTGTGAAGAAGGTGCCTTGCTTCCCCTTGCCTTTGCCATGGTTTTAAGTTTCCAGAGGCCTCCTCAGCCATGCTGAACTGTAAGTCAATTAAACCTGTTTCTTTATAAATTACCAAGTCTCGGACAATTCTTTATAGCAGTGTGAAAATGGACTAATACACCAACTTTATCACACACTAAACTCCCATGTGTATTTGAGGCTATTTTGGGACTTTCTGAGATCACACTGTCTTGTTCCAAGGGAAAAATGCTATTGGTATTGTTGAAAAAAAAAATGACATCAGATTCATAAACAAGAGAAATGACCATTTTACGATATTGTCTTCCTAGCCAAGAACATAGTATTTTTTTGCATTCACTGAAATCTACTCTTCTGTCCTTTAGACTTGTTTTAAAGTTTTCTCATAAATTTGCACATTTCTTGAGTTTTACTCCTAAGTATTTAAACTTTCAAGTTTCTATTCTAATGGGGCCTTCCATTGTATCTTCTAAATGAACTTGTTTATATATGTGAAAGCCAATGATTTCTGTTTATTCACTTTATCTCCCACTACTTTAGTGAATGGTCTCATTTTTTTCCCTTTAGAGTAGTTAAGACAAATGTTCTTATTTTTAAGTTTTCAGATTACTCTGTTCTACCTATTAAGGAAGTATCCATTAATTACTATTTTGTTAAATGTTCTTATAAAGGAGAGGCTTGAATTTTGTCACGTATCTTTTCTTTTTCTTTTTTTTTTTTTTTTTGAGACACAGTCTCACTCTGTTGCCCAGGCTGGAGTGCAGCGGCGCAGTCTTGGCTCACTGCAAGCTCCGCCTCCCGGGTTCACGCCATTCTCCGGCCTCAGCCTCCCCAGCAACTGGGACTACAGGTGCCCACCACCATGCCCGGCTAATTTTTTTGTATTTTTAGTAGAGATGGGGTTTCACTGTGTTAGCCAAGATGGTCTCGATCTCCTGACCTCGTGATCTGCCTGCCTCGGCCTCCCAAAGTGCTGGGATTACAGGCGTAAGCCACTGCGCCTGGTAAGTATCTTTTCATAACTATACAAGTAAACAAAGGATTTTTCTCCTTTATATATAATAAATATTAATAGATTTGTATTATTTCTATTTATTTATTTATTTGAGATGGAGTCTCACTCTGTCCCCCAGGCTGGAATACAATGATGCGATCTCAGCTCACTGCAACCTCTGCCTCCCAGGTTCAAGTGATTCTCCTACCTCAGCCTCTGGAGTAGCTGGGATTACAAGCATGCATCACCACACCCGGCTAACTTTTGTTGTTGTTTTTTTTTTTTTTTTAGTAGAGATAGGATTTTGCTATCTTGGACAGGCTGGTCTCGAACTCCTGACCTCAGGTATTGCCTGCCTCTGCCTCCCAAAGTGCTGGGATTACAGGCGTGAACCACTGTGCCCAGCATGGGGACTGGATTTCAACATGAGATTTGGAGGGGACAAATATCCAAACTGTATCAGCAACCTTGGGTCAGAGGGGTAAAGACAAATTAAAATTGCGTATTTTTTTCTAGAAAATATTATACAGATCTTCATATTCATGGGTTCTGCATGTGAGGATTCAACCAACCAAGGAGGGAAAATATTTGAGAGAAAAAAAAAGGATGGTTTTGTCTGTACATACTCAGTTTTTTTGTCATTCCCTAAACAATTTAGTATAACAACTATTTACTATTTATGTAGCATTTACTTTGCATTAGGTATTATAGTTAATCTAGAAGTAAAATATATGGTAGGATATGTGTGGAGTATATGCAAGTGCTACACCATTTTATATAATAAATTTGAGCATCCATGGATTTTGCTATCTGAGCAAGGGTCCTGGAACCAATCCCCCATGAATACCAAGGACAAGTGTATATCAGAATCTATGGTATAGGCCGGGCGCGGTGGCTCAAGCCTGTAATCCCAGCACTTTGGGAGGCCGAGGCGGGTGGATCACGAGGTCAGTATCACTGGCTAACATGGTGAAACCCGTCTCTACTAAAAATACAAAAACTAGCCGGGCGTGGGGCGACGGGCGCAGTAGTCTGCAGCTACATTAAGGAGGCTGAGGGGAGGAGAATGGCATGAACCCGGGAGGCGGAGCTTTGGCAGTGAAAGACCGAGAAACAATCAGCGCACTGCACTCCACTGGGAGACACAGCGAGACTCTGTCTCAAAAAAAAAAAAAAAAAAAGAATCTATGGTATAACTGACAGTGATGCTCATGAGACAGTTCATGGCTGTAAAAACATGTTTAATTTAGAAAAATGAGAATAATAAAGCCTCTGATTTAAAACAACAAAGGTATTAATAAACACCAAATAGAAAGTAATGAGTTAAAAACAGAAAAAAACTACTAAGATTTAAACTAAAATAAATCAATTTCCATAGAGAAAATTGAAATTATCAAAAAAGAATAGCCACCTACCCAAGAAAAGCACCAGCCTCAGACAGTTCCACAGAAAATTCTTCTAAACTCTTAAAAATTAAATAATTCAAATGCTAGGAAAATTTCCAGAGTATATAAAAAGAAGGAAACTTCCAAATTCAAACAAGAGTGAAACTCTGTATCAAAAAAAAAAGGGAAATCTGATCCCCAGTGATGGAGGTGGAGCCTAGTCGGAGGTGTTTGCATCATGCGGGTAGATCCCTCATGGAATGGCTTGATGCCATTACTTCCAAGATAGTAAGTGATTTCTTGCTCTTCGTTCACTAAAGATGTGGCTGTTTAAAAGAGGCTAGTACCTTCCTACTCTCTTCCTTACTCTTTTGCCATGTGAAGTCTGCTCTCTTCCACCATGAGTAGCTTCTGGAAGCCCTCACCAGAAGCAGACGTTGACGCCATGCTTCTTGTACAGCCTACAGAAAACCGTGAGCCAAATAAACCTCTTTTCTTTATAAATTACCCAGCCTCAGGTATTCTTTTATAGCAGCACAAAATGGACTAAGACAGTTGCTTAAGAGTTTTAAATTTTCCAGGTGGAAGCAACTTTAATTCACTGATCTTTATTATTAATTTCTAGTTGTACTGCATTGTGACAGATCCTACTTTATTTCTACTCCTTGGAATCTGAGTATTTTCCTTGTTGCCTAGTATTTAGTCAGTTTTCTTCAATCTTGAAAAGTTGTATTCTTGGCCGGGCGCGGTGGCTCAAGCCTGTAATCCCAGCACTTTGGGAGGCCGAGACGGGTGAATCGTGAGTAGTCCCAGCTACTCGGGAGGCTGAGGCAGGAGAATGGAGTAAACCCGGGGGGCGGAGCTTGCAGTGAGCTGAGATCCGGCCACTGCACTCCAGCCCGGGCGACAGAGCCAGACTCTGTCTCAAAAAAAAAAAAAAAAAAAAAAAAAAAAAAAAAAAAAAAAAAAAAAAAAAAAAAAAAAAAAGAAAAGTTGTATTCTCCTATCACAGCATACAGTAGCTATAGTAAGAATTATCTTACTAAGAATCTATTTAAGTGTTCGACGTTTTTCCTTGTTTTTATGTGGTTCATCTGGCCAACACACACATTCTGTTTCCTTAGGTTATTAAGGACTCTCCTTTGATTCCTGTCACCACAATGTTCAATCGGTTATAGTTTTTCTTTCACAAAAATTGGTTAAATGTTACTGTTTCAATTATCATCACCTATAAACTGATGACTCCCCAATCCCTATATCCTCACATCTGAACTCCAATCCCCAATTTCCAAATATCTGGAGGATAATCTCATTTTATTTCCTATCATGGATTCAATCTCATCCAAAATCAATTCCACCTTCTTTCCTACTCTGCTCCTGGGTCCAAATCTTGCTTCAGTCTTGCGATAGCTCATTATACCTATAAACATTTCACACTGCTTATCGTTTAAGGAATAACTTGTCTTATAAACCAAATTGGAAGGTTATAAAAGGCAGGAATACAGCATCTTTGTAACCTATAAATACAATTCCAGAACCCAATCCTGCCTGAGGAAAAAACAAGTACATTTATGAAATGCTGGTAAATGACTAAGCTTAATCCATCAGCTTCAGGGTATGGGTGGAGGAAGCGGGAAATAGAGGGTGAGGATTGGGTCTTAAGGGCCCCAAAGTGCATAGTCAAAGTGATCCTGGAGGCAATATATCCACTAACCGGCCACCCAAAATATGCTAGCTCTGCCCAAGACTCAGGAAAAACTCAGTGTAATAAATCTGATCTTTTTATACTTTTCTCTAAAATAAAGAAGATATCACATAGAGCAACCTGTGGGAAATTAACTAGACTCATTACATACCAATACTTCTGACCATATGGTATAATTACAGCTAAGAGTTTCATAGTGATAATGGATTTTTATCACCCCAGGCAACTCCTAAAACCTATTCTCTGTACAACTTCACCCTCAGAAGCAAACAGCCCTGAAGGCAAAGTAAAAAGTGTCAGGCACTCAGTAAAGACATTTGTGTAGGCCTCTGCCTCTAGGGTTGCAGCATTTCTAGAGAAAAGGTAAAGCATCTCTAAGCAAATTATAGAGGGGCTCTGCCTGATCAGTTCATACACAGCACTGGGGGACACTTGTCAACTATTACCGGGAAATGAGGACAAATAAAGAATGCCCCAGCCGGCGCGGTGGCTCACGCCTGTAATCCCAGCACTTTGGGAGGCCGAGGCGGGCGGATCACGAGGTCAGGAGATCGAGACCATCTGAGCTAACACAGTGAAACCCCGTCTCTATTAAAAATACAAAAAAATTAGCCGGGCGTAGTGGCGGGCGCCTGTAGTCCCAGCTACTTGGGAGGCTGAGGCAGGAGAATGGCGTGAACCCGGGAGGCGGAGCTTGCAGTGAGCCAAGATCTTGCCACTGCACTCCAGCCTGGGCGGCAGAGAGAGTCTCTGTCTCAAGAAATAAAAAAAAAGAATGCCCCATTCACCAACAACGAAATTATGAGAAATGCATCTAGGAGGCAGAACAGCCCTGGGCCATTACTGCAAATTCTGATGTCAGATTCCCTGAGTCCGAATCCCTGTTCCACTGCTTACAACTGTGTGACCTTTAGCAAATGTTTTAACTCCTCTCTGCCTCAGTTCTGTCACCTGTAAGGTGGCAGTAATTTCTGTACCACTCAATATTACTCTGAGAAGTACATGAGACAATAAACACATGAAAAGCATTTGGACTAGTGCCTAGCATGTAACAGCATGTAAGTGCTCATTAAGTGTTAAACATTACTTTCATCAATAGTGGAATATATTTTCACTTAGGCTAGTAGTCTTCACATCTATTGAACATCAAAAAGGGGACGGGGATTAGAAGAGCTAGTCATGTGTTCAATGAAAACATTCAAATATACCTGTTGAGAACAGAGTTCAGAAAATGGGTTCAGAACAGTTTCTATGCCCACAGTTTCTGTCTGCAGGTTTTCCCTACCTCTCCCCTCACTGCCCCCAACATATAGGGAAAATGGCCACCCACTCACCCACAGCTGGAGCTGTGGAAAGGCTCTGCCACACAGAATAAAACAAAAATAAAATAGAATGTGTGTGTGTACATAGGCTTACCAGGTGTGAATTGTCCCCCAAAGCTAGAGATGAAGGACGTGCTTGTCCCAAAGTAAACAACCTGAACACACAAAGGCTGTGATTTTTTTTTTTTTTTTGAGACGGAGTCTCGCTCTGTCACCCAGGCTGGAGTGCAGTGGCACGATCTCGGCTCACTGCAAGCTCTGCTTCCCGGGTTCACGCCATTCTCCTGCCTCAGCCCCACCACCACGCCCAGCTAATTTTTTGTATTTTTAGTAGACACAGGGTTTCATCGTGTTAGCCAGGATGGTCTCGATCTCCTGACCTCGTGATCTGCCTGTCTCGGCCTCCCAAAGTGCCAGGATTACAGGCGAGAGCCACCGCGCCTGGCTGGGCTGTGATTCTTACCCAGTAACATCATCTCCCCGACACTGCTGTCATCTTCCTTCTCTGAGGTGAGAGTAGGATCCAAGCTCACACATTCTTCCTGGCAGTGAAATACATTCAAATCCTCAAAGACCACCAGTTCCTGAAAGAGCAAGAGGCCCCTTTCATCTTAGTAACTGAGGTTCACTGACAGCCCTACTGGTAACAAAACCTGACACACAAAGATCAAGGGAAGGGATGGCAAGAGGGACCTATAAATCCCACAGAGGTGCAGCAAAGACAGGACAGCCAGGCTGAGAAGGGCTCAAGGAAAAAGCAGAAGAAAAACACCCAAGAAGGCCAACTCCTAAGAATGTGTTTTTACACACATGTTGGCCAAGCATGGAAGGTGATGGATTCAGGCAGTGAATGGGAAAACCAAACCCACCTCAGGGTTAGCTTTCAAATACAGAGACACTGTCTCTTGTTCCTGTTGGACTCCTTTGGGCAGAAGCTTCACCAAGGGACGAGGATGCACTGGGGAAAGAGGAAGGTGTTGTTAGTGAAAAACTCAGTGATTCTAACACAGAGACTCCCCATACCTTGAGGTCAGGCTGTCCTCATTCCTTTGACAGGTAACTCATGGCCTTTTCTGCTCCTGTGAGCCCTTATGGAGGTCAAGCCATAAACTCTAGGGTCTTGAACCTATGGCATCTCCCTTTTATGAAAATAATGACCTCTCTAAACACCTTTCAGAATTTCCCATAGAGTATTACTAAAGGAGAGCTCGGGGCAATGTAAAGTGTGAAGATGCCCAGAAAAAGCAGAAAATTTCTAAAATTCCACATAAACCTAAGTCAATAATTCATCTGATTTATCCCAAAAAGATATTTCCCTCAGAATGTTTGGGTAAAACTGACACTACAGAAAGATGCACACTGTTTATTGTGTGGCTTTACCCATACCCAGCACTTGAGAAGAATTTCCTCTTTCCAACACTAGAATTGACTCCTTTTTCAATATACACCATCCTAATTTGAATTTATAACTAACACAGAAGCCTATCTTAGACTCCAGTACCTCCTCTTCCTCTTCTAGTGAAACAAGCACGTGCTTCTCACCTCTGTTCTGAAGGCTTGAGCTCACATCTTTCATAATAACCAAGGTCTCCTTGACTTTCTGACTGGGCTGGACCAGGCTTGGCTTGGGCAAGAAGGTGAGGAAGTGCTCCAGCACTAGCTGGTGGATGGTCTTGGGCCCATTAGTGGCATCTCGAAGTAGGTCTTGGCCCAGCTTGGAGTCTGGTGGAACTCTCAGTATAAAGGACCGCTTTGGCTTTGGGGGCATAGGAACCACTTTTGCAGCCATCATGCCTTGCAACCACACACCACACTCGTTTCGCGGGGCCTCCAGAGCCACCTCTTACTAGAGGAAATATGCCAGAGAGCCAAGCTGTGGACAGAGAAACCAGGGATTACCCACAAGACCAGGAAAGGCATTACTGCACTCCAATATGTGGCATGGGTAGTGAGGTTACATGAGATCTAAAGAAAACGACAGCTGGGGTTAGGAAATCATAACTGAAACGCAGTATTTGAACAAGATATGCTTAGGAAGATGTTAAAGGAAGATCCTGAGAATAAAAAAGAGACTCTGCAAACCTCAAGTCCAAAGGCAAGGGAGTAATGGCGGGGAGAAGGCCAAGGTCCAGCCTCCTGAGAAATACAAAGTGTGGCCAGGTACCGGTGGCTCACACCTGTAATCCCAGCACTTTGGAAGGCCCTGGTGGGTGGATCGCTTGCGTCCAGGAGTTCAAGACCAGCCTGGGCAACACAGCAAGACCCCGATTCTATAAAAAAATAAATAAAAAATTAGCTGGGCGGGGCGACACAAGTCTGTGGGTCCTAGCTACTCGGGAGGTGGGAGGATTGCTTGTGCCCAGGAGGTCGAGGTTGCAGTGAACTGTGATCGCGCCACTGCACTCCAGTCTGAATGACAAAGCGAGACCCTGACTCTAAAAAAGAAAGGAAAAGAGAAAGGAAAGGAGGAAGGGAGTCAGGGAAGGGAAAGAAAAAAAAAGGAGAAAGAAAGAAAAGACAGAAAGACGGTGTGTAAAACCCACCAGGAAGAGGTTGAATCAGGTCTGGAGAAAGAGCAATGGGCTAGAAGACAGGAAATCTGGGGTCAATACCGAGGACATCCGCCTAGAAGCAGGTTGGTCACTGAAACTGGCCATACTGTACCCCTCGAACCGAAGCTCCCTCCGGTGCCCTTTGGGCGGGGAGGCGGTTGGTGACTCTCCCGGGGAGCAGACGCAAGGCCGAGGAGGGGTCCACACACCGCCTGCCGACTCCTCTCCGCCGTCAAAGCTCTGCTGAGAGCGGCAGGCGACATCCCACTAAGGCCCGCCGGGCCAGGCTCACTCTGGGGCCTCTTCCGCTGGTCAAGGAACACCTTTACCGTAAAGCTCAGCGTGCGCCCCTGCCTGAGGCGCTCACCAGGCTCCCTACCCGGCCTTTCTCCCTCAGCAACGGACACGCTCCGTTCCCCAGAGGCGGCCTCAGCCTGGTTCCCGCCCTCACGGAGCCCCTCACCTCTCGGGGCCTCTGCAGCCCCTGAGCGTTTGCTGGGGACGGCTCAGAGACTCAGGCTCCGGGAGAGATAGAAAAACTAGGCGCGAGCGGCCGAGCCCTCCCCTCGCCCTTCCGAGTGCCCTCACAGGTCACCGGCGACTATTCGTTCGCGCCCTGACCAGTTGAGGAGAATTGCAGGGACGCGGTGCCTTCTGGGAGGTCGGGCGCTCTGCAGCCGTCACGTCACAACCGGTGCCTTGTTTCCGGTGCAGAAGCCTGGTCTCCCCGTTCAGAGCCGGCAATCTGCGCTTGAGACGGTAACGCTTGAGACGGGCCCGGAGCGCTCTCAGGGCCGGAGGGAGGCCAGGACGGCTGCAGCCTGTCTCTCTGTGGCTCTGCCTGGAAGACGGAAGGCAAGAGGCTGGCTCCAGTCATCCATGACGGGCTGGCACTTCTCCAGCTACGGCCAGTCTAACCCCAGGGCCTCCTGGGAAATGTAGTTCGAATGCAAACAACCAATGGACGACCGTCAGGCGCGGCGGTTGGGGCAAGGCAGACCCCCTCCAACCCCCCCGTCTCCCCCACCCCAAGGCTTGAAGGAAGCGAGCTCTCGGACCGGAAGATCAAGACGCCTCCGCGCGTTTCCGCCTTTTACTGCGGTTTTCCAGTAAAAGGACTGCGGAGGCGGAGAAGGTGTGGCCGGCATGGGACTCCGCCTCTGCTCTGGTGACTCCCATAGGTTAGAGCTGGGGCACCTACGTTGCCACCTCCAATTTTCTAACTTCTACTCTGCTGTCCCCACCGGCCGTCTTGTTTTTAAAGGTATCTTAATTGCCCTTCTTGTACTGTCTCTGTTCTCAATTTCAGCTTCCTACGGAGGCCGAACAGAATTTTGTCTTTGTGCGTTGTATCCATACTCGGTTCGTTCTCCAGTGAGGCATTGATCAGGGTTGGGACAACTTGTGGGCAGGTGTGGCCTTATTTCTCGATGTAACACCAGCCTCCAGAAAGTTGACAAAAGTAAAAATATAAATGAATACTTCTTAAAGTTCATTACAGCTGACTAATCGTTTAATGATGGCTTAAAATATGTCACAAAGAAACGAGTATGAAAACTGTGTGGCACCAAGACATTCTAGAAAAATAAGGAATATCTGCCTTTTCAGATCAAAATTTACTAAAAAGGCTCCGTTAATCAAAGCAGTATGGTTTGAACTATAAGGCAAAACAGATAACCGAGATGTCTTGAAGTAAAATATAAACCTGTGTGATTGTATTTTTTAAGAACTTTTTCTTGACTCTGTTAACAAACAAGAAATAGACTGGAAGATAGTTGTAAAGATTAGCTACACAAAGGATTAGACATTCCCAAGATGAAATGAATTCCTGCCAACTGACAAAATGCAAAGGCAATGAGGAGCTCTTCCCGAGAGGGGGAAACCTAATTGGTCATTAACATTTGAAAAGATGCTTAACCACACTACTAGTCAAGATTATCACTTTTAAAGGGACCAACATTTTTCACCTATCAAACAACGAAGGTGGAGAAAAAGGCACTCCTTTTACTGGTAGTATAGTGTGTGAAGTCATCTTGTAATATATATTAAAATTAAAAGTACACGTATGTACTCTTTGACCTTCACAATCTCATCTGTGAATCTGATGTCTACAGATTTCTTGTAGAATTCTTTATAGTGACAAAAACGAGAAATGACATGCATGTTCATACGTAAGGAAATGAGTAAATTGGTGCATTCATACTCTGGAAATTACCCAGCTATGAAAAAGAATGGATTGGAACTATAGGTACACCTGGAGGGATGGCCATAAAATATTACATGAAAAAGTTTCAGAGCTACATATATCATGCATAATTATATTTTTGGAACAAACAAAACACCTATGTATGTGTTGAGGGATACACATTAGACTATTAAAATGGTTACTCATGGGATGGCCAGGCGCAGTGGCTCATGCCTGTAATCCCAGCACTTTGGGAAGCCAGAGGTGGGCTGATCACTGGAGGTTAGGCATTCGAGACCAACCTGGTCAACATGGGGAAACCCCATCTGTACTAAAAATACAAAAATTAGCCGGGCATGGTGGCGGGCACTTATAATCTCATCTACTTGGGCGGAGGGTGAGACACAAGAACTGCTTGAACCCAGGAGGTGGAGGTAGAGGTTACAGTGAGCCAAGATTGTACCACTGCATTCCAGCCTGAGTGACAGGCGCACCAGCCTGGGCAACAGAGTAGTAAGACTCTGTCTCAAATTAATAAATAAAATAAAAATAAAATAGTTACTCATAGGGAGGGAGTGGAAATGGAGAAAAGGGGGAGATTACACTTTTTTTTTTAATTGTGTCACTTCATTTAATGAGCACATGTCAATTTGGTAACCAAAAATAATAAAACCTTAAAAAAAAAAATAGAACAATAGGCTGGGCGTGGTGGCTCATCCCAGCACTTTTGGAGGCCGAGGTGGGCAGATGATCTGAGGTCAGGAGTTCAGCCAGCTAACATAGGGAAACGCCATCATCTGACTAAAAATACAAAATCTAGCGCGGGCATGGTGGCATGCCTATAATCCAGTGCTACTCAGGAGAGGCTGAGGACAGGAGAATCGTTTGAACCTGGTGAGGCGGAGAGTTGCAGGAAGCTGGATAGTGCACTCACTCCAGCCTGGTGACAGACAGAGCCGGAACTCCATCTGGGAGGCGGGAGGAGGAGGGTTATCCCGAGAAAAAAGAACGATAAAGATTTTTTTTAATTTGATGAGGAAAAAAAAGAGGCAAATAAAGCATTTTTAAAAGCATGGATGGGAATCTGTTTTTAGAATTAATGCGTGAAAATAAATGACAAGTAAATGGATTTGAAATGAACCAATAAATAAGGGTGAAACAAACAACATATATACGTCTTAATAAATGCCATTTTGATCATGAAAAGATGGCTACCGTCAACATACAATTAAAGAAATGAACATGTAAAAGAATAATTACAAAATAATACTTCAGAATTCTGAAAGCAAATTAATTACATTGTGATTTAAAAGGGCAATATGGCACACTTCCTATTTTAAGAAGTAAACTTTGGGCGGGGCACAGTGGCTCAAGCCCGTAATCTCAGCACGTTGGAGGCGAGCGGGCGGATCACAAGGGTACAGGAGAGCGAGGACCATCCTGGCTAAACATGGTGACACCCCGTCTCTACTAAAAAATACAAGAAAATTAGCGATGGGTTTGGTGGGCGGGCACCTGGTAGTCCCAGACTACTTGGAGGCTGAGGCAGGAGAATGGCGTGAACCTGGGAGGTGGGAGCTTGCAGTGAGCTGAGATCCGGCCACTGGCACTCCAGCCTGGGCAACAGAGTGAGACTCCGTCCAAAAAAAAAAAAACGAATGTAAACTTCGCTGGCACGCCTGTAATCCCAGCACTTTGGGAGGCCGAGGCGGGCAGAGGTAAGGAGATCGAGACCATCCTGACTGAAGCGGTGAAACCCCGTCTCTACTAAAAATGCAAAACTTAGCTGGATATAGAGATACGCACCTGTAATCCCAGCTACTGGGGAGGCTGAGGCAGGAGAATCTCTTGAACCAGGGAGTTGGAGGTTGCAGTGAGCCAAGATTGTGCGACTGCACTCCAGCTTGGGTGACAGAGGGAGACTCCATCTCCAAAAAAAAGGTTAAATCATGATATGTTCATAC